ACAGTGCATTCGGAAAGTATACAGACCCCCTTCCCTTTTTTCAATTTTGTTTTGTTACAGCATTTTACTTCAATTGTTCAAATTCACTTTTTTTCTCATTAATCTACACTCAATACCCCATAATGACAAAGTGAAAACAGAATTTTAGAAATGTCTGTAAATTTATTAAAAAGGAAAAACTGAAATATCACATGTACTTAAGTATTCAGACCCCCTTCACTTTTTTCAGTTTTATTATGTTGCAGCCTGATACTACAATTGTTCAAATTCACTTTTTTTCTCATTAATCTACGCTCAATACCCCATAATGACAAAGTGAAAACAGAATTTTAGAAATGTCTGTAAATTTATTAAAAAGGAAAAACTATAGAGAGGTGTGAGCCTTTCCAAATCATGTCCAATCAATTTAATTTACCACAGGTGGACTCCAGTCAAGGTGTAAAAACAGCTCAGCAACTATTGAGAGGCACCTGAGCTAAATTTCAAGTGTTGTTACAAAGGGTCTGAATACTTAAGTACATGTGATAGTTCAGTTTTTCCTTTTTAATAAATTTACAGACATTTCTAAAATTCTGTTTTCACTTTGTCATTATGGGGTACTGAGTGTAGATTAATGAGAAAAAAAATGAATTTGAACAATTGTAGTATCAGGCTGCAACATAACAAAACTGAAAAAAGTGAAGGGGGTCTGAATACTTTCCGAATGCACTGTATATCATAAAGATAAGCACACATAACAAAACTGAAAAAAGTGAAGGGGGTCTGAATACTTTCCGAATGCACTGTATATCATAAAGATAAGCACTAATAAGCATCTGTAGCCTAAGCAGATTACTGTGAAGTATTTAAATATTTAAAAACCTGTAAAAATTCAGCACATCCAGATACATGTGGAATTTTTAAAAATGGAGTACAAGAAAGAAACTTGTTCCTAACAGAAGCTGACCTTGCCTCTGCAGGCAAAGACCTTTTCGAGGTTGGCTTTTCTTAAAAGAGTTCAGAGTA